CCTGATTACGAAAACGCCCATGTCGCATCGCGTTCGAGTCCTGATTGTGGAAGCAACGAGGCTCTCGCCACTCGAGGCCATTATGCGACACGACGGTGGCGCATCCAGCGTCTACGAGGTCGAGGAGTACGAGACCGCCGCCAGACGTTCACAGACACGCTGCGACGACGACAGAGACTGGCTCCGCGACCTCCATTACATGCTGAACGTCGAGAAACAGTACGCAAAGTCTGCGTTTTACGAAAAAGTTGTGCGAACCGTGCCGATGGCGCAGCGCTTGTGGGACTATCTCCTCAATTCGTCAGACTACGAGGCAACTGTTCGCAACTTTAATCGCTTCGTTGCCGTGCACGGCCACTTTGACTTTCGTTCCCTAATCATAAAGTTAAAGACGCTACACGATGGCTGGCGAGAAGATATAGGCGTCGCTTGGTTACTCCGCGTAAAAAACAAACTCGAGTCCCTTCGCACCAACCCCTACGTGTACGCCGATCCAGAAGAACGTAAATTTCTACATTTCGTTCTCTCGCATCCCCACTCTATCGAAGAACTCTTTAAAAGGGTCGACAGACCACTTCTAGTCTGGACCAGATTGGAAAAGAAACTTGGACCATATTTTGTTTGATTGCGATTTATTGTTATTATTCGTCGGGAGCGTCGACGTCTTCTCTTCCGTCAACCAGAGGGACGCACGGCGGAGCGATCACCACAGGATTCAATAGTCTGGCGGGCACTCGGAAGTCGTAGTATCCCTTGTCCGAAATTGCAGCCACAAAGTCCCTCACGTTGTCCGGCCGCGACAGGTCACAATACATTCTGAGATAGTCCAGTGTCTTGGAACGAGTCGTTCGCTCCATCAAGAGACTCTTCACCTCGGGGAGCGCCAGTGCCCAGAATCGTTCACTTAATCTATAGTCCGTCACAGTCTTTCGGATGAAATCCTCGCTCTTGAGCATTCGGAGGACGAAGCAGTGCGGCGAGTGCCGAGCGTGAAGCACCCAGGGGTCTTCTTCTTCGTTGAAGTTTCCCATCCACGCCTGCATTCCGCAATAAAAGCAGGTGACGTCTCCTTCGGCTGTCGCGCATTCTCTCATAAAGAATCCGGCGTTTGCAAACTCTTTGTAGTACTTGGAATGCCTTCCAAATGACGTCATTCTGTCCATAACGTTGCACATGGTGGGGTGAACTGGTGACTCGTAGACTACTGGGTCGAAATCCACAAACAGCCGTGGGTCCCGATATGTCTTGATAAATTTGCAGTCTGGAGATGCGGCGGCGTGGAGTTTATGTGGATGCACCCACATTCCCAATGCCGAGGCGTTGGAGTTTGAGAGTCAGGTATTCGTCTGTCACAACGAGGTTGCAATCTTGGCAGAAATTTACCCCGAGGAGGCGACGGAAGCCGGCAAATGCCATTCACCTAGGTGTCGGGTATCGCATTTGGCAACCCTCGAAAGTTCGGAACCTTGCAATTACGTCCTGCATCTTCGTCGGTACTAGTACTAGTCGTCGTGTCGTGATGTGTAACACTACTCGCAATATATATATATATATATATACACTAAAGGGGGCGTTGCAATCCATATAGCTGACGTCAGTAAGTACACAAAAGATATACGCATATTTCGGCTTTAGATGATAACAATTTTAAGTGGAGGGGGAGGAGCAAAGCAACAATCTTGTATGGATTTTGACCTTTGTTACTAAGAGCGCTGTTGCTACAGGCTCATAGCTGTATGGGGGGAGGGGGGAGGGGAGGGGGGGGGGGGCGTGGACAGTCTGAGGTATCTTGCCCTTTCTGACTAAGAGCGCTGTTTGCTACAGGCTGATAGTTGTATGGGTGGGGGAGAGGGGGGGGAGGGGGGAGGGGGGGGTGTGGGGGTGTGGGTGAGGGTAAGGAGGAACGTGGACAGTTTAAGGTATCTTGCCCTTTCTGACTAAGAGCGCTGTTGCTACAGGCTGATAGTTGTATGGGGGGTGGGGGGGGGAGAGGAACGTGGAAAGTCTAAGGCATCTTGCCCTTTGTGACTAAGAGTGTTGAACCTTCGTGTTGCGTGGGGACGGTAACTTCGAAGACAAAAATTTAGGTAGAAACAAAACACCCCTTTAATATTTTATGACCAAGAGTGTTTTAACCTTCGTGTTGCGTGGGGACGCTAACTTTGAAGACAAAAATTTAGGTAGAAACAAAAACACCCCTTTAATATTTTGTGACTGAGTGTTTTAACCTTCGTGTTGCGTGGGGACGCTAACTTTGAAGACAAAAATTTAGGTAGAAACAAAAACACCCCTTTAATATTTTTGACTTTTAGAATGAAGAGTGTTGAACCATAGTGTTACTAAGGGTGGTGGTAATGACCAGGGAAAGTTAAAAAGTTGACAAGACAATGAATATGAAGTAGTTTCAATTTAAGCTTAAACAAAGTGACTCATAGAAGGGATTATATAAATGAGAACATTTTCGTGGTAGTCGTATCAGCAAGCCAGCACAGGACAGACACTGTAAGTTTCGTCTCAAAATGTTTTCTAGAAATTAATTTATCTTCAAAGTCTGGTCACTGATAACTGTCGAGTGTTCGTGGAACTGATCTTACATTCACGCGAGTCTCATCGCCAAGGTCAGATGTCGAGCGGTAACTAGATATGGAAATATGCAAGGTTGGTTGTTATTCGAGTGGTTTTTGACGTCAATGCTACTAATAGCTCGCCGCCAGAGAGTCACATGGGCTGTGAGAGGGGGGTCTTAGTGAGGTATAAAACGGGCGACACACTACCACCGACTACTAGCCTACCCTCTCCCTCGCAGCAACGACAGGACTACTACTACTGGCAGACATGGAGTCCAGGCGATTTCCAATGCCGACGGCACGACTAGAAGCTCCGGGCCATCATCTGAAGACGCCGGTGAAAGCAACCTTCAATCATTCGACCATACCAGCCTCGACCAGTATGAAAGTATTTGAAAGTTTGAAGCGAAAGAAAATGACCAAGGACAAAGTGAAATTCATTCCCGCGTCGTTCCGAGGACGTGGAAGGAGATGCCGCAAGACTACGACCTCCTAACGGTACCGGTGAAACCATCTCCTCTTATCATTTTATTAATTCATTTCGCCATGTGGTCCATAGCTAATCTGGACAATTTTCCCGTTGATTCTTTAAGGCATTTATTCATCGATTACCTTAACGAAGAGGTGGCCCGCATGATGAGCGAGAGACATGTAACGAAGGAATTGTTAAAGTTTCTCGAGGATTCTGTAGCGTCGGCCCCCTATTCCGTTTGGCTGCCGGTGGACGGAGACTCCAGCGAAAATGGGGTATTTTATCGTGGCGCACGTGAAAAACCTAAACACGTGGTGCAACCTCTTTTGCTCACTCACTATCAAGGGTATGAATGCAATCGCGCCCACGTTGTTTTAAATATGTTTAACGGCTACAAGGGTAAAGTATTTTATCCTTATAGCTACACGTTCAGTCACGATAGCAGAGATAAAACTAATAAGGTAATTCTCCTGCAATATTTCATCTTACCAGCGCTAACGTCGTTGACGATGCGCCGAGAACTCGCCGAGTTTATTGGCTTAAGTATTAATATTGAAAAGCATAGGGCCCTCATGGTAAATTACATTTGCGAATCCATTAAAACATTGGTGTATAAATCTGTGTTTTTTTATTCGTCGGAATTTAATCAATGCGTGAATGTAATTGCAAATATTGAAAGTCGGAAAATGACGGATAGAAAAAAATCTAAATTGGCGCAACTCATAGAGTATCCGAGCATTTTGACCGATCCATGGGTTTACATCTCCGGGGTCGGCCTATCAATTGGGGACTTTGATGTTGCAGAATTCTCTAGAGGACTTTTTTATTCCACGGAGTACGAGTCTGTCGCTCGGGAGACATCGGAATTGATGACATCTTTATTTTTTTATGTATTGTATGTTATTATTGAAAAACGGCGGGTGTGGGATTGTCGCCTCGTTGTCGAGTCTAAAAACGAATCTATCCTGGCGGCCTTTTATAATTTAATATCGGACCTCCTGCGACCATTCAATTGTAACGCTGCCGCCACATGTTCATCCGTACTAATACGTCATAACATGGCGTCGCAGGAGGACCTGAATTACGGCCGCCTGGATAATTATGATACTCTTAAAACTCCGAAAAACATTAAGGCTTTGAAAACCTTTCTCGGTTTCTCCTGCGTGACCGAATATACCAAAGTAGTGACCAAAATTTCTCAAAAGTCTAGTCGCCGCGTCTTCGTTATGCACCTGTGCAATTTCGAAGACGAGGCGACCGTCGAAGCATTTGTGAAGAAATATTTCGATGCGACCACTCTGTGGCCATTCGTCCTCGGTCTCTTCATTTATTTCAGTACGAGGGAGGACGAGGTGCTGACCGAGGAATTGCTCGACCTATGGTCGAAGCAATGTCCGACCCTCCTGGCCACGTCGATGAACGTGGCCAATACCATGATGCCGAGCAGGTTTTTCAAAAACGCTTCTATCATGAACACGGTTCGGACAACGATTGGCTTCCAGCAACCTGTTGCTGAGTCGACGCCTACCGGCGACGAACAGCGATTGGTATTTGCCACGTTGTCTAGCCAGGAGGTGTTTGAAGGGATCGAGGACGACTCGATTAGTAGCCCGGGCTCCGCGAAAAAATCCGAAAGCGTCCAATCTGGCAACAAAGACTCTTATTCGGACGATGACGAATTGGATATTGCAACCGAGATGGTATTGAAGAACGCAGGAGTGCCAAAATCCAAAATTGATTCGTCGGACAGCGAGGAAGAAGAAATCGTGCGGTACACCTCTTCTTTCAGGAAACGGAATTGTCTAGACTCCGATTCTGACAGCGGACCGATTCCAAAAAAACCTGTATACTATTCTGAAAACGAAATTATTGATATCGACTCGGATGACGACCAGAACAGATCTTCATCGACATCATCTCCGGATTCTCTAATTAGGCCCATTGTGAAACGTCGCAGACAAATTCTATCCGATTCAACGGATGACGAAATGGTCGAAGCCCAAAAAAGTAAAAGTCCGTTCTGGTCGGACGAGCCGTCAACGCCAATACCAGAAAGTCCCTGGCTGTCAGAGTCGGAGTGCTCGTCTTTCACCGGACCGGTGGTATCGTCTTCCGCGGTTAACGCGGAATCATTCACCCCCTCACCCAAGTCTCCGATCCTGCCGCCGTTAACGCCACTACCAGAGAGTCCGAAGCTCTCGGAGTGTTCGTCCTTCACCGGACCAGCGGCATCTCCTTCCACGAGCAACTCGGAAGTATTATCCCTTTCGCCCGAACTTCCGATCGTGCCGAAGGCATCGCCCAACGCCGAACCGCTCCTGCAAGAGCCCGAGTCCGAGCTGCCACATCCATCTTCATCACCATCAAGTCCGCAGCTCGAGCTCTCATTTTCTCCATCACAGTTCAGGACGTCGCCGTCGCAGCTCCTACTGCCGCCGTCGCCAGAGACTGTATCCAAGATCGCCGGCGCCGGTGCCAGAGACTCTACTTCCACCAGTGCCGGTACCACAGACTGTAGATACAACATTGCCGGTGCCAGTTCCAGAGGCTCTGCTTCCATCACTGTTGGTGCCACAGACTCTACACACAAGATTGCCGGTGCCAGTGCCGGAGACTGTGCTTCCATCACTGCTGGTGCCACAGACTCTACATACAGGATCGCCGGTGCCGGTGCCAGAGACTGTGCTTTCATCACTGCTGGTGCCACAGACTCTACATACAGGATCGCCGGTGCCGGTGCCAGAGACTGTGCTTTCATCAGTGCCGGTGCCAGAGACTGTGCTTTCATCAGTGCCGGTGTCAGAGACTGTGCTTCCATCAGTGCTGGTGCCAGAGACTGTGCTTCCATCACTGTCGGCGCCAGAGACTGTCTTCCCAAGAGTGCCAGTGTCGGCGCCAGAGGCTGTGCTCCCATCAGTGCCAATGTTGATGCCACACACTGTGCATACAACATTGCCAGTGGCGGAGGCAGAGACTCTCTTTCCAACAGTGCCAGTGGCGGAGGCAGAGACTCTCTTTCCAACAGTGCCAGTGGCGGAGGCACAGACTCTCTTTCCAACAGTGCCAGTGGCGGAGGCACAGACTCTCTTTCCGACAGTGCAGGTGCCGACAGCACAGACTCTCTTTCCGACAGTGCCACTGGCGGAGGCACAGACTCTCTTTCCAACAGTGCCAGTGCCGACACCACAGGATGTCTTTCCGACAGTGCCAGTGGCGCAGGCACAGACTCTCTCCAACAGTGCCAGTGCCGACAGCACAGACTCTCTTTCCGACAGTGCCAGTGGCGGAGGCAGAGACTCTCTCTCCAACAGTGCCAGTGCCGACAGCACAGACCCTCTTTCCGACAGTGCCAATGGCGGAGGTAGAGACTCTCTTTCCAATAGTGCCAGTGGCGCAGGCACAGACTCTCTCTCCAACAGTGCCAGTGCCGACAGCACAGACTCTCTTTCCGACAGTGCCAGTGGCGGAGGCAGAGACTCTCTTTCCAACACTGCCAGTGGCGGAGGCACAGACTTTCTCTTCAACAGTGCCACTGCCGAAAGCACAGAATGTCTTTCCGACACTGCCAGTGGCGGAGGCAGAGACTCTCTTTCCAACAGTGCCAGTGCCGACAGCACAGACTCTCTTTCCGACAGTGCCAATGGCGGACGTAGAGACTCTCTTTCCAACAGTGCCAGTGGCGGAGGCACAGACTTTCTCTTCAACAGTGCCACTGCCGAAAGCACCGAATGTCTTTCCGACAGTGCCAGTGGCGCAGGCACAGACTCTCTCTCCAACAGTGCCAGTGCCGACACCACAGGATGTCTTTCCGACAGTGCCAGTGGCGGAGGCACAGACCGTGCTTCCAACATTACCACTACCAGCGACGTGGGTGCATGGTCAAGATGCGCTAGTGGCACCACAGTCTGTGCGATTTCTACCCTCGTCAATGTCGGCGCTGCGGCAGTGCGATGAAGTGCACGTCCCATTTACGTGGCATCGGGAACAAGTACCGGTGGCGGCGGCGGCGGTACCCACCACTCATTCTGTATTATCGAATGACCATCGGCAGACGATGTCGACAGATATTTATTCATCATCGCTTCACTCTGGATTTTGTCCACCATCGCTTCAATCGGCATTTAGTCCACCGATGGCTCATCACCTTTCTAAGGCAGTTTTTGGAGATGACTCCTCCTCGACATGGTCTGAGGCGAGCGAAGACTCTAATTCGTTATTACGTCAATTGCTGACAGCACCGCTTAAAAAGAATACGTATTTTTCACCGATGCAAAGCGCATTTCAAGCTCTGTCAAAATTGTCGGAAGCGGAATCGTGCTCTACCCCGTCCTTTCCCTCGGAGGAGCAGCTGGAAAGGGAATACGAGTCTGTTACCACTTTACAACAACTAGTGGCCATCACCCTAAACGACGACGTTCCAGTCTCTCCTTCGAGCGTTACGGGTGAAGATATGACAGACGAGGACGTGGCAATGGTAGCCGACCTGATTGATTCGGTCTACAAAAAAGACTCTAAAAGCGACAAAGTAGAAGATTTCTTTGAAACTGCTCTGCATCAGGCCATGTGTGAATACAATTGCCAACACGAAGGAGACGAAGAAGAGGAGGAGGTCAAACGCCTGCTTGTGGACCTGGTGAATAAGGTGGTGGCGAAAGTTGTGACGGAGACTGAAGAGCTCGACGAGGAGGTCATCCTTCCCCCAAAAAGTGAGTGTACATATATAACTCCTTGTTGTACCTTTTTTTTTTCTAGCAGAGTGTATCTGATGGGATGGAAGATCCGACGCGTCTCGTAAAAATCGGGATGCTATTAAAAGAACGTCCTAGACCGCCTCGGCGAGTAAGACCGTCTAGAACGAGGAAAGAGACTGGTCTTTAATTTGTATATATTCCTTGATTTACAGGTCACAAGATTCCATCCTTGCAGGAGCAGCGGAGCAAGACCATGTCTCTTTATGACGAAATACAAGAATATCTAGACAGTTTAGATTATGAGGTGTAAATAAAGAATTGTACATATACCGGACCTCTTTGTCTACCTGTGGTGATTACTTTGTCAAGAGACGAAGTTCGTTATAGAGGGTGACTAGCCTCATGCGTGACTTGCCCTTGACCCGCAGTAGTCTAGTCAGGAGCCGAATAGTGTTTAGCGAAAAGGTGTGCTTATAGCGAATAAAGATCGGGTTGTAGTTTAGATCGCTAAAGTCTCGTATCTGTTGGAAGCTGCGAAAGGGATACTCGTGAAAGAGGAGTCTAAAGAATAAGAGACCCAGAGTCCAGACAGCCGAGGCTTCGGGAAGATACTCGTGCTCTAGGAACCATTCGGGCGGCGCATATTCGAGAGTTCCGCAAAAGGAGGTTCTCGGTTTGTCCGAGTCGCGGAGAACAAAATCAAAGTCGATGAACTTGATGTCTCCGGTGTCGATGTCGACGAGCACGTTTTCTTCTTTGACGTCGCAGTGGAGCAGGCCAAAGAGTAGCCAGCAGTCGTAAACGATTCTGACTATCTTGATGAAAAGTAGAATGGCTTCGCGTTCGCGAAGTCTGTAGCAGTCGAGGTACTCTGCGAGGGTAACGTCGTTTTCGGAACGCTCGGTCACGATGACGTATGGTCCACCGCGGTCGATTTTGAACCAGTCGTACATGTAAATTGCACCCGAAATTAGTCTGACCTTGAGGAGGTTGGAGACTTCCATGGGGACGCGATATTCCGACCAGTGCCAGACCATGGTCGAGTCGATGCATTTTGTAGCGACCGGAAGGTTGTCGGAGATGCGTCTGCCGGCGTAGACTTTTCCGAAGCCGCCCTTGCCCAGTCTGTAGGTCGTATCGACGTCGTAGCCTCGTTTCGCCAGCTCGAATTCGAGATTAATCATCGTACAGGGAATAGACGCAGTAAACGTTTTTGCTCACGAAAACGTCACCGAGAAACGTTTTTTCTATATGTCCGTCGGTCAGCTTGCGCTCTATGTAGACGTTATCATTGTAGGCCGAGTTTAGGATGTTGCGAACGTCGCCACCCGTTTGAATGCTGTAGATCACCTTTATCTGGTGGTGAATGCCGAGCACGTTGGGTAAGTAGCGCGTGGACATGGTAGTGATGGGTGGAGGTGCGATTTTTATGCGTGCAATTAAATGGCGCAGGGTGGGTTAAATGACTAGACGACTGCGGTGTCTTGTTGATCCCAATCGTCTATTTCCTCAGACGGATCTTCTTCTTCTTCGTCTTCTTCGTCTTCGCTTTTGTTGAAATGCATTTTTATGTAATGTTCTTTGAGCCAATCGATAAAGGCGCCGATGGTCCGAATGTCTTCCGTTTTGCTCTCGTCCTTGTGGAAGATGACGGAGTTTTCGATAAAGACGGGAGAAGAAACCGGTGGTGGTACCGTTATGTGCGGTAAGATGGATTCGCGAATGACCTTAGCAATCGAGGTCGCCTGATCTCGTAGTTCTTCCGAGACCACGACCGTGCTGCCATCGGTCTCTGACTCTTCGACGACGTAGTATTTATGAACCTCCTCCATTTGACGCGATATCACTATCTTGTGGAGAGACTTGATGCGAAGAGGGAGTTTTTTCTACACGCTACAAAAATAATAATCGGGCATGAAGTGCGTGTTTTTAGGCAAGGGGTCGTATGCTAAAGTATACAGGCTCGTGTTCAACAAGGACCAGAGTGTGGTGATAAAAGTGCGTAAGAACAAGGGGAGCGAGATATACGCCGAGTATACGATCCTCTCGGTCTTGAGAAAATGCGGAATAAGCGAGGGCATACCCCAGTGCCTGAGTAAGGTAGCGTTCGACAAGGGCGCGGCGATAATATTTGCCGACTCGGTGAGTAGGCCCCTAGACCGGATACTATATCACGACAAGAGCTCGATAAACTTTAGAAGCGTTTTTAAGCAAGTGTTTCGCACGTTACACGCGTGCGTGCAAAAATGCAACGTCTTTCACTGTGACATAAAGCCAAACAACGTCGTAGTGAACGCCGACATGAAGTGTACGGTCATAGACTGGGGCGGCGCCTACCTGGCTCCCGCTATACACAAACCGAGCGTTTCGGATCCGGCTGCCGTCAGGACGACCATGGCGTATTCGTCACCGGAGGTCGTGGCGATATTGCCGCGCGCGCTCGCCAAGTAGGCAGCGCGCGCGTGGCCTAATGGTTATCGCGCCTGCATCCCACGCGAAAAGCTGGGGTTCGAATCCTGGAGCGACATGTCTTTTGTTTATTCCTCTAATTTAGTGTTCTGGAGAATTCGAGAATCATGTTGCTTGTTCCAGGCCCGAATGTTCCACGCGTCGAAGTTTCTTCGCCGATTATTCCAGAAGACCACGCATGTACATAAGGGGCTCCGCGTGGCGAGCCGCAGTCAGTTTTTCGCCCCAGCGTTCGACTGTGCTGCTACGCCGACTTCGACGCCCGCGACGCTCTGTTATTATCTTTGTACCCTTTTAGTTTTTGGCACAAGTTCGCCACATTAAACGTTTCTTTCTTTCTGTTTATTTAGTGTTCCTTTGGTCACCACCCGTGACAATATATTGCGGCAGCCGCAAGACGAGTTACAATCCGGAACTCCTCATGACATGGAGCCTGGGAGTCTTTCTGTACGAACTTTATTTCCGCAAAATACTCTTTCAACGACCCAAGGAAGACCTGCTTCCCAGTGGAATAGTCGGGGCCTCCAAGGAAACGATTCGTAAACTCGAGTCAAAGATCACCAAGGCTGTGTACTCGGCGCCGGTGGACGTGGCCGAATTGATTTGGCTCTGCTTGGCCCCGTTGCCCGAAGAGAGATGTAGACTGGTGGACATTGAGGCGTACCTTGTCAAGGCAGGTTATTGACGGCCAACAAGGAATTTACGATAGAGTGCGAGTTGCAGCTGGTCGTTTCTCGCACCAGGCCTCCGTCCGAGTCGACAAAGAAGCTGGTCCCGTTGATTCGCAGGACGACACCCGCGTCGAAATCGACGCATTTGGAGTACACGTCCTCGGTTCCGTTGACAAAGTAGGGTATCCCGAACCGTGCGAAGAATTGGCCCGACACGTACTTGGCCGCTCCGCCGACGTTGCACACGGGCGGGTAAACGAATCCGTCGTGATCGGCGTCGCACACAGAGTAGGTTTCCAGCACCGAGAGGCCGTCGAGAGTGAATTGGACCGAGCGACGCCAGTATCCACCTTCGCCAGTGCAGACGATGGAGCGCACCATGTTTTCTATCGAGTTGCAAGACATGATGAATTGCTGCACGGGGCGCAGACCGTCCCAGAGACAGTCGGAGAGCCACGCGCACGCCACGTCTCCGTTACCGCCACCACCATCGTTGTCGAAAACGCAAACGCCGACGTCTTTGCACATGTGTACGTAGTTTCGCGAATAGAAATTTACTATGGACGGACCGATGCATCCGAGTGCCTGAAGCAAGTGAACTGACGTGGCCTTGGCTCCGGAGTTGATCATCACGGATAGCGTGTCCCTTTCGTCCAAGACGCTCATCACCGAAGACGTGATCTTCTGCCAGTAATAAACCATGTCTTTGGTGTCTTTAAAGTGCTCCGGTATTTTTCCAAACTCGGCCTTAAAGAGTTTGCTGCAGCGATTCATTTCCTGCGCAGACAAATCAAAGCCGTACTGCGTCATAAAGTCGTCGCAGAGACGCGTCACGCACCCCCTGTGGCGTAGGTAGTCTTCTTCGTACCCCTTACATATCCTGACCGCGAACGCATTGAATCGATTCGTCGTCTTTTTGGTCCACGGGGACTTTCCAAAGGCCTCCGTGATTTTCTCGAAGGTCCAGGGGAATCGTGGCTTGACAGGCGACGCGCCAAACATCCACTCGTACGTGACGTGCTCAAACAGCTGCCGATAGGTCCGCGGCGGCCTCGTGGAGATTGAGCGAGCACGGCGCAAATAGTCTACGAAGGCGTCGTCCAGACGTTCGTCTGGCCACGAAGTCAAGACAAATATTGCCATCACCGTATTGTACGAACACTTTATTATGCCCATTCCGTTAATTTCGGAAAATAAGAGGACGGGTAAGGAGTTTAGGATGGCGTCGGGCTCGCAGGGCTTGTAGCTGGTCGAAGAGACGTACAGCGTCATTTCGTCCCCGTCGTAGTCTTGGTTAAAGGAGCCGCTGAGTTCGTGGTGGATGCTAAGGACCAGTAGATTGTCGTCGTCGTACGGCACCGGCTGAATTAGCTGCATTCCTGACGAGTGCCTGCAGAGGAACACGTCCTTGTTCCGCACGTAGTTGTACACCTTGGGGGGCACGCCGACTTGCCACAGGTCAATGTCGGTGTCGCACACTATGACTCCTCGCACCGTGTACATGGGTCTAGTGCCTCCGCACATTTGTCTAAAGAGACCCTTTTTGTGCGCCAAGACGTCCAGCATGGACATGTGAATGCGTCCGCCAGAAAAGATGTTGTTGGTGACCGAGCCGTTGTATCGGTTGGAGGCGACGTCCCTCCGTATGTCGTCCGACGGGATCATGGCGTTGTTGTTTGTGGACACGCTCATATACATGGTGTTAGATACGGACGAGGCCGCGTCGTTGCTGCCGCTTCCGCCGGAAGGCAAGGACGAAGAGCAGCCGGCGCTTCTACTGCCGACGACTTTGCCTATGGCCATGTTGTGAATCATCGTGACGATCTTTGCCTTTATCTCGGGAGCTACGACGGGCACGTTGTCGGACGAGATTTCTACGGAGCTGATGAGCTTGTTTAGGATCGGATAGTACTCGCAAAGCCTGTAGACGGTCTTTGGCTTGGACGTGTGATTCTTTTGGGAGGTAGAGTTGACCATGGCGTTTAAAGATCTAGACTCATAGGTGATTTGAGAATGAATCAGCTGCTGCAAGTTCTTGTCCTTCATAAATTCTAGGCGCGCGCACGGAGGTCTCACCACCAGGTATCTGGAAGTGTAGCGCTCGTACTGGTCGGGGTATGCGATGCGAAACGCTTCGACGGCGGCCGGCGATGCTACGTCTTTGGTATTCAGCATGGACTGAATTTTACCCACGTACAGGGGTAGAACGTAGCGAAATCCCAAGTCGACCAGCGCGGGGTGGCCCGGGCACCTCGTGTTGTTTTGTTTGCACATGTCACAAATGTCCTCTGGAGAATCGTACATGTTTAAGCCAAAGTATTTTGAATCGTAGAGACGAGCCAGGATAGCGTTGTTGCCGAGC